TGCTTTTGATTGAGAAGAGATGTTTTGAAACTTTATTTTCATCTACTTGTTGAATGTTTCTGACAGAGAGTCCTCTCACATGCATTGTGTAGAGTTGTTTTTCTGGAGCATTTAAAATCAGAAAACGCAGAAGTGGAAAAAGACTTCTATGACAACTCTGAGTTCCAAAGGCTCCTCCAACACTACAGAAACTCACAGGACTCAAAGGAAACACAGCATTTCCATTTTCCTTTTTGTTACTTCACCACAGAGCTTTTTCCTTCAGTAGCAGAGGAGGTGCATTCTGAGGAGATTTGTGTGATTGAGTGTGTCAGTTTGTCATGCGTTTGAGTGATAGGCAGGCAGTTCTAGCTTTCTGTGGTCATCTGTGACAACTGTTTTTTTTTTTTTATAGAGGCTTGTTGGAAACCTGTCCCCTCACACTTTCACACAAAAAAACCTCAAAATGAGGTGCAGCAGTCACTGGAAACCAAAAAGCACCCCCCGGGTAATAAATAATTCATGCATCTGAAAGACAACACTTTCACTTTTTGTAATCGAAGTGTCATTTTTAAGCTCAGATTATGTAACTTTATGCATGTATTTTCTGGAAGAGTTTTTCATATCCTGCCAAATTATTTTCCCCCAAAGGTTGTTTCTGCAGAGGAAAGATTGGCCCCACCGTCCTGAGTAATGACGGCCATGGAGACTGTGAAAATATATCCCTGGGCTTTGTGATAGGATGTTTTGCTCTGCTTTTTTTTTAATGAAGTTTGGTGTCTGATATTCTGCTGTACTTTATTTGCTTTGAAGATTTTTCGGCAGAAAGAATGCAGACATGGACATTTTTGTTTTAATGACCCATTATTATCATAAAAATAAGACAAACAACAGACATTTCAGATATATATCATATTTTTCAGATGATATTTTTTTCTTTATTAACATATATTGAATACCCTCTGCTTGGCTAAAAGTAGCATCACCGCAACATCTATTCTCTTAGATGTTACAATACAGCAATAAAATGTTTCTATTACAGCATATTGACTTCTGTACGATCAGATTTTTAAGTTTCAGCTCATGGTGTAATAAGTTGTCAATATTAAAAAGCTCAACTGCATATAAAGTTGGTAAAATTAGCTCTACTTTCACCAACACTGAAATTCTGCTCATATGTTTATCTCAGTAAAAAAAAACACATCAATTATTATACAATGTAATGATAAAACACAATCAGTACCGATTCATTTGTATGACAATTAAATTTTAAGTAATTTCAGTAATTTATTTCAGGGCTAACCCCTTGAGCTGCATCCTCTCATTTTCGAGGGGGTCCTTACAAAACATAAATATAATTGTCAGTAATACAGAATCAAAATGAAAGGTAAATCCAAAACATATTCACAATTCACACTTCTTGTTTTGATGATGTGTAGTCCATCCATTAGCTAGATTAAATCAACCCAAATTCACTTCTTTGACAATAACATAACAACTTATTACTTTGACTGTTTACCTATAAAAAGAATGATGATCAGTATTGAAGTCTGATTAAAGTGGCCGCTGTTCTCTTCTGTATGTTCTGCACAGTTTAAATCTCCATCTGCACCAACTCATCTTGTTTTGTTTTTTTCAGGTTGCATTTGAGTGTCCTTCCAAGAAATGAGAAAAGACAACAGGATGGGCGCCTGACTGTGTGCTCTGCATAGAAATGTAAGTGTTGACTGATAGTGTCCTGTGTGTGTGTGTGTGTGTGTGTGTGTGTGTGTGTGTGTGTGTGTGTGTGTCTGTCTGTCTCTGTGTGTGTGTGTGTGCTTGCCTGAGTGTGTGTGTGTGTGTGTGTGTGTGCTTGCCTGAGTGTGTGTGTGTGTGTGTGTGTGTGTGTGTGTGTGTGTGTGTGTGTGTGTGTGTGTGCTTGCCTGAGTGTGTAATGTGTTTGTTTTCCTTCCGGACACTTGCCCTGTTTCAGCTAATTACATTTTTTTTAAAAGTTAATTCCTGTTATCCTAGCTACGAGGATTTTCTTTCAGGTATATTACTCATGCTCAATGACACGCATGCGCAGTATGCTGCCCCCCCCCTTACTCGCGCCAACTGTGACCAATCTGAAAAGCGCGTGCAGCCGCAGACAGATGATCTGTTTATTTGAGAGAGGACGGATCAGCCTCACACTAACACAAACATCAGACGGTTTGGTTTATTCAGTAATGAGTTCATCCTCACCTTTTAGCCCCAGAAGCGTCTCGGATCGGATTAAGGAGGAAAAGGTGAAAGTTGCATTTTGTAAATCTAACACGCGCTAATCCGAAACAATTGATGTAAACGGGCGAAGTGATGGAAACACAAGTTTGACATCAAATCCAAGAAAAAGGACTTCGGCTGAGAGGATGCATGTGGGTGAGTGGGATTTCTTTTAAATCAGGGGGTCTGATGAAATGGATCTGTTTTTCTTTCTGTTTTATTCATCAAAGAATGGATTTAATAACCTTTTTACAATTATTATTTTCCCCAAATTGCAGTTTTCTTCGCAGAGGTATTGTCTTGCAATTGTGTATGATGTTATTCACAAACGTTGTTGTTTTGCAAAATATTTCCAGACTCAAATGGAAGTAACCTCTGCTGTGAAAATGTAAGAGACTGATGGTGCTGAAGTGACAGCTCCTCACATGCACATGTCGGTGTCTTCTGCTTTTGCGAGTATAGCCTTAAAAAAAAAAAATCTAAAAACAAATGTTGCAAGCAAAAAGTAAACGTGGAAATTATTTTAAAAAAGAAAGAAAGAGGGAAATCTCTTTCCTTGCTTGCATCAGCATGTGGTGGCTTAGTTTCCCGGACAGGAGGATTTATGCTGCTGATGCTGCCTCAGGTCTTCCTCCACACAGACACAGAATAAATATGATCTCTTTGAGAGAGGTTCAGAGGAATAGACTTGAATGAACAAAGAATATCAATCCTCCCATGAAGTGGTTAGTCAGTCACTTTTAGATGAAAGTGTCGCTTAAATGTCCTAAATTTGCCTAAATCACTTAACTAAAAGAACATTTCAATTGTTTGTTACAGACACTGCTTGATGCATATTTCAAATTGCACCCTTGAGGTCTGCTTACAGATTTCCTAATATTACAATTTCAAGAGCTTTTTATTAATTTTCATTTATTTATGATCTTAGAAATAATGATTACTGCACTGAGAAAATGATGGAGTCTATATATGTTTTTTTATCCAGTCCCTCCAGTTCAAAAGCAGCTGCAGCCACATTTGCCAGACACATTGAATAAACATCCGCAGTGTGCATGTAAAAAAACAAACCGCTGTCTCGTGTTTAGCAGTTTGTCAGCGGATGTTGGGAGCAACATGCCACTTTGGTGAAAAGTCAAAAGCAAAAATTTGAGTGGCCTGGTGTCCTTGGGCAACATGGTCCATTTAGGTCATTTTTTATTTTATGTAATAGACACAAATGTGGCATAAGGTATTATTCCAAGATACAGAGACTCTTCTGCACACTGTTAAGACAAGTCATTCATGTCTTACTTTAGTCCACTGTCTGCTCTGTTTTACAAACAGAAAAAGGAAAAGTAGGATGTAATAACAGGAAGAAGAGTTTAAGTAAGCAGATGGTGGACGCAGCGTGTCCTCCTACTCTGTCCTTTTCACCCATAGCCTGTATACATTCAGAGAGATTCAGATGAGTGCACAGAGACTGCTCAACACAAATCCTGCTAAGCTCTCTCTCTGTTTTCTTTTATTCCTTGATTGTAAGCTTCCTCACATTCTTCCTTTCCTCACACATGTCGACTTCTTTTACAGTCTGGATTTTTCTCCTGTGTGTCGAGGAGGGATTTTCAGTGGCACAGAAGACCAAAGGTATAACGGATATATTTAAAACCAGCCTATATATATTTAGAACTGGAATTAAAGATGAGTGAAGCTCTTGGCTGGTCAGTTATTTAAACGCCTTTCAGATAAGGATTTTTCTTGTGTCATTAAATCGTTTTTCTTTCATAAATTGTGTTTTTGTCAAACAGATGGAGGATCAAAAGCGGTACGACCCTCTCAACGGCCACAAAACTCTCGCCACTGTGGAAACTGGGTGCGAAACACAGAGGGAGGCAACTTCAGCTCCCCAAACTACCCCAACACGTACCCTCCCAACAAGGAGTGCTTATATGTACTAGAAGGTAACTACGGTAACACAAGTCTCTGCCTGTTTATTTCACAGCTGAGGATAAAACTTTCATTTTTCATTCCTGGTTGTCATACTGGATCTGATACTTTTATCAGCGCTGGTCCACAGGAGATTAAATAACACTTATATCTTATGATCAAGACTTCAATCTGCAGCCGTTCGTAAGGTTGCAGTTTTTAATCCATTCCCCATCCATATGATATAATATGCTTATTTTGATGATAAATGGTGTCAGTCAATTTTTAAGCAAAAATGTAAAACATTTGTTTGTTCTCGCTTTTCTTGTGAAGATTTTTTTTGACTTTTTAAAGATTTATTTTTGGGGCTTTTTGTGCCTTTATTAGAGCGATAGGACAGTGGATGGAGTTGGAAATCAGGGAGAGAGAGAGAGTGGGGAATGACATGTGGGAAAGGAGCCACAGGTTGGATTTGAACCTGGGCCGCCCGCTTGGAGGACCACAGCCTCCGAGAGGGGCGCGCACTAACCACTGCACCACCAGCGCCCCGATCTTTTTTTACTTTTTGAAAGTTATGTTGGTTTTAGACTGTTGGTTAGAATACAGAAACAATTTGAAGGGCTCAGTGAAATTGCGGTTTCTCACTTTTTTAGAAAGACACCGTCAATATTTCTATTTGAAACATTTTTTTAAATTGAAGCAAAAGTGTGTCTATTTGTGTATTCTTTTAGTAGCATTATATCCCTGCATATCCCTCCGCCTCTCTCAGCAATGCCCGCCAAAGGATAGAGCTGCTGTTTCACGGGCCTTCTACATCGAGGCGTCGTTCGAGTGTCGTTTCGACCACATAGAGGTGCGGGACGGCCCCTTCAGCTTCTCTCCGCTCCTCAATCGATTCTGTGGCTCGGCCAGTCCTGGACTCGTCCTCTCCAGCGGCCGCTTCATGTGGATCCGCTTCTTCAGTGATGAGGAACTTGAGGGGAGCGGCTTCCAGGTGCAGTACACCTTTACTGCAGGTGAGGGACATTCTCATCTTGTCTGCTGAAATTACATTTCATTCAAATGTCTCTGCTGTCGCTAGCATATGTCTATACTTCTATATGGTATGATATCTCACTGTCTGTCTCTATGATTTCCCCAAAAGACCCTGAATTTCATCTGCATGTGGGTGGACTCCTTAACCCAATCCCAGGTAGAGAACCACACATCTTAGCCCACAAAACAATTTCAGATGAACATTAAAGTCTTTCTATGTGATTTTTCACACTTAAATATAATATAAATAAAGTTTATCCTCTGAAAATAACTCTGTGAGTCATGACTGTCTACAATGGGTGTAACACCCGAGTCCCACTGTCTGTGATGTTTTCAGAGTTTTCAGAGTCCTATCTTCACTTTGTTTACATCGCCAGGACGGCCGGCTGACTCCTCCCCTCGTGTATAAAAGTTGTTTAATTGAGGGACTAGAGAAAAGAAGAATAACATACTGTACTCACTGCTTAACTGTGTTTCTAGATCACGCTCATTTCAGGTAAATTTACATGCAGTGTGAAGATACCAGCATAATAAAGATCGCTAGCATTAGCATGCTAACACAACAATGCAGCGCGAGTTGTTTTGGTTTCATGCTGGTGCTCAAGGGCGACATCTGCTGGATCAAAAAAATCACATATAAAGCCTTTGATGTGTTATGCAAAGTCACCTCTAATCTAATTTTCTCTTCCTGTCTTCCTTCTGTCTTCCTGTTTGCTCTTATACCCTCTGTTGCTCTCTGTGGGGTCAGACTGTCAGTTTGAGCTGTCCGGGGCTGACGGCATGATCCGTTCCAGTCAGGTGGAGGAAGAATTCAAAGTGAAGCCCGAGCAGGCAGTGGACTGCATCTGGACTATACGAGCCCCAAAAAACCACAAGGTACTGCACGTTTAAGGATAAAGTTATATAATACACCAAAAAGGTCTTTAACACAGAATTAAGAAGAAGAGAGGATGTGATTCATTGGAAACAACATGAAAAACAGCCTTGTGGTTTAAAAGATGAGTCTCCAGCCTGCAGGGTGTTTTGCATCCCGCATAGCTCTTCATCCCTGCAGACATTTTTGTGATGTGCTTATTCCGTATTTTGCAGTGCACTGCCTATTACACAAACCTTAGATAAATACCCTTCCAGTCTTTTAGTCTTTTAAAACCAAGACTACATACATGCAACAAAGGTGTCAAAATGAGGATTTACGACCAATCTTTTTAATGCAGTGATACAGTACATGCATTTTGTGATTGCTAAAAAACAGAAGGAAGGAAGGAAGGAAGGAAAATGTTCAGTAAACCCCTCTTCCTTGCATATTCCAGATTTACCTGCGCTTCCTGGAATACCAGCTGGAAAACTCAAATGAATGTAAGAAGAACTTTGTGGCTGTTTATGATGGCAGTAATGCCATCGAGGACCTAAAGGTATTTAGTTTTTTTTAATTTACAGAATTCACTCCTGAACGTAAAGTCAAAGGCCCTTAACCAAATGCACTTTACTATTTTTTATTTGTTGCAGATTGTTTTGCATTAAACTCTCAGTTGTCAATTCATTTCACCTGCAGCTACATAACAGGGTTCATCTCCTTGACATTTACTCTCCTTTTCAGTTTTAATACTTGATTTTTAAAGGTGCACTTTGGCGTTTTGGTAGAGAAATGTGAAGGTTGGAGAAATGTACAGATTATGTGGTATATGCTCTATATCTGTGATTCCCAAAGTGGGGGGTCGGGACCCCATGGGGGGTCGCGAGACACTGAGAGGTGAGTCGCGAGTTTCCTTCCAAAAACAAATGCAAACTGGAAATGACTTGAAATGACATATTTTACCTATTTTTGTGAAATTACATACAAAAATGTTGTTCAATTAGTTTAAGGCTGCTGTGTGTTTTTATTGTTGTTTTAATGTCAGTGTTTGGATCGTCTCTGCTCTATATGATAGCCTACATGCTATATGTTGATAACTTTTTACACAAACTGCCCTCAGAAGAAAATCTGATCCCTGGAACACTGTTTGAAGACAAAATGCTAAGTGAGAGGTTATGATGGTGGGGGGCCCGCAACAGTGAAACCGTAACTCTCCTGGTAGCTTTAAAGCTCCAAACAGTGTTCCAGGGACACATTTCTTTTCTTTGAATAAAGTTTGTGTATTTAGTTCAGAAAATATATCTCAGAATTGTTTCACTTCTCCAACTTTAAAATTTCACTACCAAATCTACATAGTGCATCTTTAATTATAGCAACTGTTCAACATACCTTGGTGTCTTTGAGACTACTCATCCAAACACTTTACTCTGCAGGCTAAGTTCTGTAGTACAGTAGCTAATGACATCATGCTGGACACTGGATTGGGAGTGGTGAGGATGTGGGCAGATGAGACGAGCCGCCTCAGCCGCTTCCGGATGCTGTTCACTTCATTTGCTGACCGTGAGTTTTGCCTTTTTTGAGATGATTGATAATCTCTGGTGTTTTACATGTTTGCTTATGTCCTTGTTTTTTAGTTTCTGTAGCTGTAACAGGATGAGTACAGTATGCATTTGCTATAAATGTAACAGGTTTGTGGCGGCGCCCTCATGTGGCCTCTGTTCAACACTACCACGGCTATTCAAAATAAAGTTGTGTTCACACTCTTGTACAGAATACGTTAAATCACTTTAAATCATACAAAAGTTCTGGGTTTCCATGTCTACTTTTGAATGAGTCTGTCCATTATTTTATTCAAACTTGATAAATGGGATCCCTTTTATCTAAGCCTGACCTTTTATGACAAATATATGAAGCTCCTCTAACCTGCTCTGTTACACACTGATGTGTCTGTGTTTATATTTCAGCACCCTGTGCAGGCAGTTCATTCTTCTGCCACAGTAACATGTGCATCAACACTTCTTTGGTGTGCAACGGCATACAGAACTGCGTCTTCCCCTGGGATGAAAGCAACTGCAAAGGTACTCCAGTTGTTGCTAAAGCACTTTTGCTATTCTCTGCTTTGCTGTGCTGTGTATCAGAATGAGTTGTGTCGCGTTATGTAAGATGATGCAGGCCATGTCCTGTCTCTGTTGTGTCACATTGAGCCTCCTTGGAATTCTGTGGCTATAAATCTAAACCAGTGTTTCCCAAAAGTGTGGGCCGCGGCCCCTCTGGTGGGCCGTGTTGGTACTGCAGGCGGGCCGTAAAAAGCCCTCCACCAAGTATAAAAATAAAATAAATATCACAATAATGATGATTTACCATGAGTCAACCCTTTAAGTGATTAGTAAGGTGTGTCATGACTATTCATGGACATAATGTTTAGTAAACCTTTGTGTCTGTCTTGCCATAATATCATGTTGTCATGTCCAGTAATTGACTCTAACTGAAAGTTATAGCTGTAGTCATTTACTTTTATTTTATAATGGGCCCCGGAGTAATTTTGTATTTCAAAGTGGGCCGCGGCAGTCTTAAGTTTGGGAAAGGCTGATCTAAACAAAATATAAAGACAGGCACGCAGGCCCCCCCTCTTTTCTTAAATGGTTGATCAAATGTTGTATTTCTATTTTCACCATAATACCAGAGGGAGCATGTTGGGAAGAACATAATATTCCTTCCAATTTCTTTGGCATGAAAATAAAGATCTCATTATCTTTAAAGCCTTTCCAAAAGACCTTCAAGGCCTTTATTTGGATGACTGTTAATCAATGTGTTGGCTGTTGGTGAAGGTAAATTCAAGTAGCAGACCGTCCTGACCCAGAAACAAGTAAATCATTGATGTAATGTCACTTCCCCCTAAAAAGTCCTGCTATTTAATCACACCTTTTCCCCTCTCTTTATAACCATCATTCAGAAAAAAAGAGCAAAGGTGTTTTTCACCAGATCACAAAGACACACGGGACAATAATCTGTGTGTCTACGGGCGTGGTGCTTCTGCTCCTCATCGTCTCCATCCTGGTTCAAGTCAAACAACCACGAAAAAAGGTAATTGAGATAATAAACTTATTTGGTATTTGTGTGTATCTGAATGTTTAATCAATGTGGTGTAAAATTTCATTTAAATCCTAATGAATTCTAATTGTATTTAAAGGTGTTGGTGCGTAAGAATAACCTGTTCCAGCGAGGAGACTTACAGGAGGCGTTTGACCCGCCACATTATGAGCTCTTTACTCTCCGGGACAAGGTTAGTCTATGGAGTTAGATCAGTGTCAATATTCACAAATGCACACAGAAGGATTCACAAATGTATTTCAATGCACACACAAATATATTTCATTCTATATACAATTCTACAATTTTGCAATTCACTTATCAGACGCTTTTATCCAAAGCGACGTACATCAGAGAGTAAGAACAACACAAGCAAGGATCTAGAAAAAAGGGAACAATGTCAGTAAGAGCAAACGATCAGCTTTGAGTCTGATTGGACACACAGGTGCTGACAGGAAGTGACCAGAGGCAAAGCACAACATTGAGGGCAGTTCTTGAGAGCTCTAATCAGTATAGAAACCATCTTATAAGTCGTCATTATCAAACAAAAACCATCGTCATTACCATCATCATCATCAATAATATGGAGACCATCATCATTAAGTTAGTAGGTATTCATGAAAGAGCTGGCTCTTTAGCTTTTTCTTAAAGGTGCAGAGGGACTCTGCAGATCACATGGAGTTTGGAAGTTCATTCCACCACCGGGGGGCGACAGAGGAGAAGAGTCTGTTGTGAAGGTTGGATCAGACGCCTTTCATTGGCAGAGCGTAGTGGGGGGGGAGTGTAGACCTGATGAGAGAGTTAAAGTAAGGAGGAGACGTTTTTGTGGCTATATAAAGACTATTTGTGCTGGTCAGATTAAAGATGACTTAATCAGATTGTCTGACAGCTAGGGCTAATTGCTGTATGTGCAGATGCAACGCTAAAGTGATCACATTAAAAACAGACCGTTGAATCCACGCTACTGTGATTTGCTGAATAGGAAGGAGACATCTGATTGGCTACAGACATTGCCCTGCTGAAAAAAATACATTTGTGAATCTAACCACGGCAGGGGAGCCTCAAAAGTCCCACACACAAATGCAGTGAGGTTCAGTTTGTAAATGCAGACTGAACAGTTTATATATTAGTGGATTTCTATTACATATATATATATATATAAAACTATAAATATTTGTGTGTGATTCAGAAATACATTTGTGAATCTTATTTTTTTATTTGTGGATTTGTCTTACATTTATATAGAATGAAATATATTTGTGTGTGCATTGAAATATGTGTGAATCCTTCTGTGTGCATTTGTGAATATAGAGACTGATCTAACTCCATATCAGTCTGCTTACTGTATTATTAGTTTTTAGGTGTGAGATGCTTTTTCAAGTAGCAAACGTAACATCGTCGTTATTATTTGTAGGAGATGTCGGGTGATCTCGGAGAATTATCAGAAGAGCTTCAATCCCTGCAGGCGCTCAGGAGATCGTCGTCAGGCTCACGGTGCGTTCATGAACACCACTGTGGTTCTCAGGCTTCTGTCAACTCGATCAAAACCAGTCAGCCTGCCCACGGCGTCGGGAGGGGATCCTTGGAGCTCCCCCCTTTCCGAGGGGACTTCCAGAGCTCCTTGCCCCCCTTGAGGGACTTGCACAGCGGCCTGCGGAAAAAAAGCTGGCCCAGTATGAAACCAGGTCGGATACAGGGCCATCACGGTTTAGAGGAAAGAGGACTCGGGCGGCAGGATCGAGTGATGGAAGAGGATGAAGACGAGGGAGAAGATGGAAGGTACGCTGTGTATGTACGCAGAGCAGGAGGACGAAGAGGGAACTATGAAATGGCCCAGCAGAGATCTTTGTCCATGGACTTCTGATATAAAAGGCGAGGTGGAATAAATTCAGCAAAAACTTTTTTTTATGCCATGTTGTATGCCACACTTTCAGGGCACAAAAAAAATAAGAGAAGAGAGGAGGCTCACCTTCTCACTTTATTTCTTTATGATGACAGTAATTACAAAGACTTCCCTGATTTGCTGTTCACTAACTGAAACAGCCAACTGGGAGGCTGAATCGTTTTTGTGATCTGTGTTTAAGTAAAGAAGGTTTCAATGCTGCGTAGTGTTCTTGTTATCATTGTATTTTGTTTGATATATTTTACTGTAAAGCAGAAATTCAGATGAAATATGTTTTTAAACAATGTTTGAGTGTTTTGAGAAAAAATACAATTTAGCAAACAATTTACTCAAATCTCAGTTTTTGTGAAATCAGTTTTAACCTGTGTCAAAGATTAAATATATCTCCCCTCTTGGTTTAGGGAAATGATTTCTTTATTTCAATATGACATCAGTTTTAGCATCAGGTATTAAATGACCATCAGCAGGTGAGGAGTCACACATGTTCTTTCCCAGGATGTAGGTCTTTGATGATTTTGAAAACATGTTTCCCACAGGTAATGTCTGGACTGTCCCTCTTAAAATATACAGTAAGTCTGGTGTTGTATAATTCTGTTTTATAAACTCCAAAAAAAACAAAAACATTTTGGCATAAACACATAGCATTAAACACTAGAAGATTGTGTTCCTTTTTGGCTAATGTAAGCAGTAGTTAACAGGTTATAAATGTGTTTTTTTGAGTCTTACAACAACAAGAAGAAAACACGACAAATCAAAAAACAACAAATCACAAAACAACAAATCAGATTGACATGATTTTGTTGTGTTTTCTGATTTGACATGTTTTTATTTATTTTTTGATGTTTTGTTTTATTTATTGTTGTGTTTTTTTTAATTTGTTGTGTTTTGCACTTCCGTACAAACTGGTAATGTGGAAGAGTTCCAGCCACAACACCTTTTTTTTGTTTCTTTTCAATTTAAAGGTCACTTGGTGCCATGCAGGATACCTTAAAAAATGCACACCCTTCCTATAGGCAAAATGAATAAAACTACCACATATTTAATGCAGCTAGTACAATTTACAAGCTGTCAAAACAGAGAAATAAGACTGTTAAGTCACACGTGTGTCTTTTGTTAATTTACACAGGTGCTGGTTGGAATTCACCTCATAAGATTTATGGTAGCATATTGTATAACCATAACAAAGAACCAGCAACGGGTTTGTCATTAAACATTTTTTCCACTGCCACACCTTTCAAAGCTTTGTGTTGTGTGACCAAACTGCTCAGACATCCATGAAGCCAGAGGATGTTTAAAAATCCAGACACTAATTTCTTAGCCACAGCCTTGTTCTCAAATCATAATATTTCTTTATCATACCATACAACTACAAATAACAAACCCATCCCATTCAGACCTGGTCCCTTTTATCAGCCTGGTGTTCCTGCAGGTTTTGAGAAACCAAGGCAGGTCTCAATAAGAGGCCTCTGTGTATTCTCCCTCTCTACCCCACAGTGCAGCAGGTTGGAATAGACGGGCTGTCCTCCGCCTGTCTTGTAAATTTAGCGCACTTCATGATCACATAAAGCCATGCATGTGTTGTATTACGACCTTATGTACAAGAGGTAATCGTGCTCAGGCCTGGTTAGTCCTGGAGCAGTGTGAGTGCAGACCAGCAGAGGGAATGGGGAGCGGGGACAATGTGAGTGCGGCTTTAAAAAGCAAGATCAAATTAGTAATTTGTAATATCAATATTCATATTTTGTACAATGTTAAATATTCTTTCTGGTGTACATTTATAATGTTATTGTCTTTCCCATATTTTCTGTGCAGGACTTTTCTTTGATAATAATTAAAAGCCTGTCTCATGACTGGTCCCAAAGAAATGCAGCGTCATATCATAGACTGAAGTAAACAAAAGCCCAGGCTAATGATTAAAGTTTTAAGGGGCATACAGAAAATCAAATGGGCAGATGAGAAATGAAGCTGCGATGTGTACAGTTGAATGCATGAAAATGCAGCACAGTATGGGTTCTAACAGTGAGTCAGTCATAACTGTGATGTTTGATTTTTTAATATCGGCTCATATGCACAAGATCTAAAAATAAAAGGTTTCTTTTTGTTGGCTATACTTTCTACTCATGAGCTGAGTATATGGATGCTTTTTTAGTTGCACTGTGGAAATCATAAAAAGGAATCCGATATCAGGCGGAAACATGTAGGGTACTACAGAAAAATCGATTAACCTAGAAAATACAATCAGGTCAGTAGGTGTAGGTGTGTACTTGGATTTTATTACAGTAAATATAAAATCATTTGAATCTGTGATAAAACCATATCATCATAAAACAGATGTTCCTTATTCCTTCCTTGAATAAAAGGTAAAACAATGGGAGTAAAAACAGCTTCTGAGGATAAATAAAACATCGTCATGGCAAAATGTTGTTTTTTTTACAGACATACAATATTTGAAACTCTAACAAGCCTTATTTTGTTTTGTGTTTATCATTCCCATGCAGGTGACTACATGGCCACAAATAAAGGCATAACTATAACGAAACATCAAATTTAGTTTTAGCAGTGCAGCACAGAAATGAGTGACTCAGGTGAGCACTTACATAAGCACTAACAGGTTGGCTGGCATGCCGTAATACATAACAGCTCGCCCTCCAGACACATGTTAAAACGTGAACGAGTTCAAGATATTAGAACATGAGGGTGCAGTCCTCTTTGAGCCAATAAACCTTACTCGGTGTGTAATGTCTCCGCCTTTACTTTTGCTCCAGCACATACTGAACTGTTTAGCACATACTGTATGCTCCTGAGACTGAACTCTGTGTTATCAGAGAACACGTGCTACTATACCATGACACAGCAAAGACTGCAAAATATGCAAAGCCTGACAAGTTTCTCCACATTTCTTTCATCAAAAACAGCACTGACAGTTGGATAACAAGTCATGGTAGCACCTAATCTGCCAATACAAATAAATAACATAATAGAATTCATGCAAGTTGTTTTTGATAAAAAAAAAAAGAAAGGTACATTTACAGGATTAAATGCATAAAAACATAAATTCATGCATTTATCCTGGTTGTCCTCAACGACACTGAAATATGAACCTATGCACTTCAACATCGTCATAAAAAAATCAGCTGCTGCAATAAAAAAAACTCGCTCATTGCTTGTTTGATTTGTGTTTCGCTTATCCTTTTTTCTTTATCTTCAGTCTAAAACAAGGACGTTTTATATTTCAGTCCTGACTTTGCTGAAGTCAATAAGATTGTCTTTTCAGTCTGCTTTGTTGTGCCACAGCACAATATTGTCTCTCAGTGCATTTAACGTCAACAAGACGAGCTCCTCAGCGATTCATCAAAGAAGGCTAGGCGGTTCTGTGCCACTAAAGGTGTGTTCTCCCCGAGAACAGCTTCAGTGAAGTTCGGCCTTCCCCAAGCATAAACCATACTGTTAAGGAAGCCCTGAAGGGACAAACTGGCAGCCTGAATAAAAAACAACAACAACAACAACGCTGTAAACTTCAACTTAGACACAAGATGATTATTCAAATTGTCTCTTTTGGTGTCTGAAATTTACCTGAATCACATAAAGGAAAAACAGGCTGCGTTGTTCGATGTTAGTCCACAACATCAGGCAGGACAGGAGAATGAGGATCAGAGCTGCAGTGAGAAACACAAGGCATCAGTCTGATGTTGACTTATGATGATGAAATGTGTTAGGTTAACTTTTAAAGTGTGTGTGTGTGTGTGTGTGTGTGTACCTGGTGCCCAGCAGAATAAGATGACCATGACCATATTTCTAGCTGTAGAAAACACTCTTTTGATTCTCCTTCTTGAACGTGCATCTCCCTCTGGGGGGAAAAGTCCCTCGTGCTTTTGTGTTTCATACCATTTACTAATATCATAGTAAATAATCTGGAACAAGAACAAAGACGATCAGCTTGTTCACATGTAAATATAGCTTAAAAGTATGTAAATGAAACAGCGTGATTGGGTACGACTTACAGAGCAAGACATCAGCACTGTTATCACAATTAGGAAAAGACAAACTCCGACAATGGAATCGTGGATGTCCTCCTGAGTTAAAAAAAAACAATGCTCATTAGTTAAAACTGCCTCAGAGATCTTTTTTTTTATGATTTACTATTTCACAAAACAGCTTCACACTCACAGGATGAGAACAGGAATCCCTCCAGACATGCAAGAACAAAATACAGCTGTGAAAAAAAAAAAAAAGAAAATCAAAAGGTCATGTAGACAAAATCATGGACACATTTTACACTTTGTTCGTCTTTAAACACAAATGACTTCAGGGAAAGTTTGTACTCACCTGGTGCAGTATTGGCTATCATTATGGATGATCAAGACGTCACCTGCTGGAGTGAGCTCAGCTGTCGTCATGAAGGGGGTTAGCACGTATACTGAGTACATTATAATGGGCAATAACCTGTGACATCAAACACAGAGACACAATTAGATGTGCACCATGGTACTCGGAATTAAAGGTTAAAAAATCAGTAAATAAACTCACCACACTGTGGCATATACAAGTATAGCCACCATATTCCTTCTACACTGACTCTGTAAACCAGACAGAAAGACATTATTTAAATTCTGTCTTTAGAGTGTTTTGAACAAATTAAAACCTACAATACAGTGGACACCCCACCTGAGTTCCCGCGTGTTCTGTTGGTCTTGTTCTCCACCCTTGGATTGGACTCCTGGATTTCCAAGCGTAGACCATCACCAGCAGAAATGAAATGAAATAAAATGTCTACAACAAAATGGACAGAAACCCCACACATGAATAAATGTACTCGGGGTGTAGCAGTACTTTGTGAGCAGTGATGAAATGTGACAAGAAGCTTTAAATGAGGATCACTTGTATCTAACTAGTTACATGTAAGTATTAGCAAACTTATTAACTTAACTTAACATATGTCCCTCTGCTACTCCATTAACAGAAAAACTGGGGTTTGTTTAGTCGCCCTGAACCTCAAAAACACAGCATTTCAAATGACACAACCACATTCCACAAAGCACAAGGATATTTCACAAAACACAACTCAGTTTAACAGAGAAAAACACTTCCATAGAAAAACAACTTTTCACTGAGTGTGTTACGTCAAATGTCTTTTGTGTGTACCTTTATTTTGTTAAATTCACTGTTTTCATCTTCAGTGCCTCTAAGATCAGACATTTGCTTTTGATCTTCATGAGGACGTTTTACCTGACTATATTTTTATTGTCCCATACCTGAGGATAAAGACCTGCTTGTAAAAACACAGAAAATTGTTTCTGTTGTTCTTGTTTAGGACGTGTGGACAATATTTCCTCAATTCACATTTAGAATAAATACTTTTGAGGCAACATTTTGCCTAAGGGTATATTCTGAGTACATTAACCTAAAAGTTGCATTTTTTATCTCCCCCAAGAAGTTGACTTTGTTGGACTAAAACACCACTGTCCGCAGGAATAGAGCCGCCTTAGGCCTTTTAACAGAGATATAAAAATGTAAAATCAAATCTCTTATAATATAGTCCTTAAAAAAGTTTATAATGTAGGCTCTTCTTGAAGTTCTTTTATTATTGTGACCATGTTTTTTTCAATAGAATAGAATCAGAGCTTTAATTCAATGCTTATTTGAGTCGACAGATTCTACTTTCATGTAAAAGAATAAAAATGTCAAATGTCGGAGAAATTATTATTTTTTCTTCATTTGCATCTCTATCTGTTAAGCAAGAAAACATAAATATTACTGCTTTGATTTCACACTGAACTTTTGAAAAGGTCACATATTTTCCATATCTGCATTTGGAAATAAATCCACAGTCTGAGAAACATTCTTTTCTGTGTTTGCTTTCTGTAAAGTCAATATCAACTCTCCTCATATCTCTTTAAATAAAAATGCTATTTTAGAGAACTTAGAGATTTTAAATTTGATGCAGTTTATAAAAGAATTTAACCAACATCTTAACACTTTAAACAATACTATGAAGAAGCAGCTCCACCTTTCTGTCTTGAAGAAAAACTAGAATTAACTGAAGACATACTCAGGCAAAATCATGAAGTGAGTAATGTTTCACTGTGATAGCAATCTGATCTTTAACCCTGGAAACAGCTGAGACGTACTAAAATCAAAGTGGAGATGTTCACACAAATCACTTTTCTATCTCGCATCTCGCTCAAACTCTTTTCCATGCTTCAGAGGATATATTAGTCAGATATGACACCCTCGTCGACCAGGAGGCATTTTGTAAATTATAATGAGTCATGAAGGGGTCAAACAATGTGAAAGTGTTGCTCACCAGCGAAAGGGGCAGGAAGTATTGGCAGATCTTTACACCACTTTCAGTGCTAACTTTGTTCAATACACTAGTGGTCATGAGGATCAGAGCAGCGAGGAAGTCTGCCAGGGCGAGCTGCACCAGGATGTGCACCTACAGAAAACAACACAAACACAAAGGGGAAGTTGCTTTTCTGGAAAACTCTATGAAACAACATTTTAACAATTTCCATGCAGTGTTTTGTGCTTCTGGAAAATGTATTAAAAAAACACACAAAGATCTGGCAAAACTACACCAATATGTACAACCATCAAATATATAAAACTTATGTCGTGCATTAATTTAACACAAATGTGCAGTTACACAAATACACATTCTACCTGCACATCTGCCCAAGGACATTGTTTTATATTATATAATATTATATACACTCTTTCTTTTCAAGTCAATTTTTATTTAAATTAACTTTTGCCCCATTTTATATCTTATTTCTGTAGCTTATTTCTGTATCACTAGTGTGTGTACGCTATGCATATTTTGAAGTGTTGTATGAAAGAGCCTACGGACTTAACAATGTCATTGTCAGCTGCTTTTTTTGGAAACGTTGTGCACTGTGACACAAATACTTAGAAGTTCACAGACACGGGTATGCATATATGTAAATATATTCAACCTGACTCTGACTAACCTGTTCTTTTAGCTGTCTCCATCTCACCAGAGAAACCACCAGGACAGAAAAGCTCCCAATCAAACTGCAGAAAATCAGAAATGTGACGGTATTAAATATCACTGCAATTCAAGACAGAGTTTATGTATACAGCATATTCAAAACAACTTCAGTGGACCTATAAGTTCTGTATAGGCTTAAAACACAATAAAACAAATATGAGTGGAACGAACATTAAAACACAACACTGCAGCGGATAAACGCAACATTTTAATGCATTCATGTTCTCTACCATGTATTGATAATATTAAAGTTAATATTGAATGCATTTGAAAACAGAATGTAACTTGGAGTCACACTAATACTAAACCTAAAGTTTATTGCAAAGGTCAGAGTGTTTGAGGATGAGACAGACTTTTATGTCTGAAGGAAAACTTGTGACACTAGGAGTAAAAGCTGTCAATGCAATGACACACACCGTGAGCTTAACCTTGCACTTGGTTCAATAAAAACTAACTGAACGCACAGTCTTTAGCAGCAGTTTGTCTTCTTGCTTTTGCCTTTGCTGTCTTTGAAGAAAGAAAGAAAGAAAGAAAGAAAGAAACAAACAAACAAACAAAAAGTGAAAGCAGCTGGGTAAAATAAAGGAGGGAGTTTCCACTCCAGTTTTCATGATCTAAAAAAAATATTTTTGGTTTTGTAGTAACTTTGCCTTTAAAAAAATATGTGAAGATAGAATTGAGGAAGCAAATTTGCATTAACATCATTCTGCTAGTATGATTAACCTAATGTAAAAACTGTTACTAGGCTATTTATTAATCAGGTTTTTTATTAACTTGTGATAGGCTACATTACAGCCATTGTAAGTAAGGCATATTTAAAATAAAAAACAAGTATTAGAGAGCACGTTACCTTGGAGTGAGTAACACCAAGTACTCAGTTGAAAGAGCATCAATCTGAAAAACAGAATGTAAGATATTTTTAGAAATGCACCCTCTCCCCGTATTAATATGCACTGAATCTGCTGTCATTGTCAATTAATTTAAAAAAATTTCAAAAAGCCGACCTGATGATCACTTAAAACACCGTTGAGTTCCATTTCTTTCTTTCTTTCTTGTCCAAGTAGAAGCGTATTCAGCTCTAAAACTCCAATAACCTGTCTCTACAGGTGAAATGTGATTCCTTATCCAAGCACACCTCTATAAAGACTATGCACCTCGTCACGTGCATCTGTTTTGACTCCACCTGCTTTGAGTATGCTTTATTATCAAAACAGCAGAAGTGTATAGCCTATGTCTAAGAGGGAATCCCCAAGGATATTGGGAAAGTTTCTTGTCTATTTCAAGACAGAAATACACATACTTAAGGGAAATCCGAAAAAAGGGAAACATAGCCTATACTTTTATTTTTTCTTTTAGGATTTTTTTCCCTCGCTTAATTCCCCTCCCCCCCAGATGTATATGCACATGTAAATCTCTGCCTACATACTGTCAAGATACGTTATCTTCCATGAATAACTGATTAAATACATTATCGACAACTTAAACTCACTCTCTATTTGCATCGAGTGTCAGCATAAAGCAAACAGGTGTACCACCTCGCAGGAAACCGGTATTATAGTGCCATCTAGTGGTTAAATTGAGACCTACATTTTCGACGTATGACGACAATTTGTGAAAATAATTGAATCTTCTTTTCTACTTGTACCAGCTAAAATTCAGACTGTTGGCGCCAGGTATTCATTACGACGGAGGATTAGGGCCACTTTAAAAAAATAAAAAATAAAAAATAAATAAAAAATAAATCGAGAATAAAGTCGTACATTTACGAGATTAAAGTATTAATAATAAAGAATTAAAGTCGTAAATTTACGACTTTAATCTCGTAAATTTATAGAATAAAAAAAAAAAAAATCGAAATAATAATAATATATATTTTTTTTAACGTGGTTATAATCCTCCGTCGTAATTCATTCTATTAAATATATTAGGTAAAAAATAAAATAAAAAGTAAACACCAGAAAGCAGTAAAAGAAACAACAACTTCCTTTACCGTGTCGTGTGTGTTGATAAAGTTAATTCAAACTGATGACGTCATAGATTCCACGTTGGCCCCGGACGTGGCAGTCAGTCTCCCAGTTAGACCCGCACAGTGAAACCACAGTTTCCACCACAGTGTTCAGCGGCTGATATCAGACTTTCTTCTGTGATTTCAGTCATGGGGCTCACGGTCTCTAATCTATTCACCCGGCTGTTTGGAAAGAGACAAATGAGGATTTTGATGGGTGAGTAAAACAGCTGTTGTTTGGCTTCAGCTGGACGCAGCTTGGTGCCAGCGCATGAAAAAGTTCGAGTATCAGTTTTTAATGTTTAAACCTGCTCAGTTTACATTTGGGACGAAATCATTTTTAACGGAGGGATTTAAAAAATGAGTTTCGCTCCGATGTTGACCGTAAAACAAAATATACGGATATACCCCTAAAGCTTCCGCCAAAAGGGGGTTTAAAAGTTGTTATTGTCTTCTTTATGGATGTTTGCAATGTGTCTCTTGATGACATTAATAAAAGGCCACAAACCGGAAACGCGTCGGGCTAATACATGTAATAAAATCCATCTTCATACTGGTGTTACTGGAGCTTTTTGACCTCTTAATGGTCTTAATTAAAATGTTATTTACAAAGTTTGCCTTCTACAAATACAAACTTAATATGAGTATGTGATCTGGATGAACATATCCTCAGTCATATTGCGTTTTGTAGGTAAACTTTTATAAAGTGTGTTGATGTCTGACCAGAAATGAGCAAGTGCCATTGTGTTACGTCATGGGCTGGTCCGTGGTGACGTCAGAGTTAATTGTTCTGATTGTTAATGTCAGCTCTTTTTAGAAATGTGGGCTCCTTTTTCCTCAGACTAAATGATGAATGTGTGGTCTCTTGTTCTGTTAATGACTGTCCTCTGCTGACAGGTTATCTGACCTCAGGTGAACGCAGGTCATCTCATTAACAGCAGCTTGTTATCCACAGCTCTGTGTCCTCTACTGATAACGATGATGATTTTTATGCTTGTTGTTTTCAATAGTTGGGCTGGACGCTGCCGGAAAAACAACTATCTTGTACAAATTGAAGCTTGGTGAAATTGTGACCACCATCCCAACCATTGGTAAGAAATACTTTTGTCCTGTTTTTTTATTGTGTACTTCAACTAGGGCTGGGCGATATGGACCAAAACTCATATCTCGATATTTTTTCACTGAATGGCGATACTCGATATATCGATATGTCTTTTATAATAGTCAGTGGCACAAGTTCAACATGTACATGAAAACAAACTACCTGTTTGTGAAATTAATTAACAAAATAAACACTGTTGTGTGTTTTGTTAACCGTTTAGTTTGTTGACTTTGGGGAAGGGGGAGGGAGGGAGGGAGAGAGAGGAGAGAGAGAGAGAGAATGAACTACATCGATATTAACGATATTGTCTTACCCTATATCTGGATTGAAAATATATCGATATATCTTAAAAGCTTGATATATCGCCCAGCCCTAACTTCAACATGTTTGATTGAACTTCATGGATAATGTTTTTGATATGTTGTCAATCTTCTGTCCTCGGTACAGGTTTCAACGTGGAGACAGTAGAATATAAAAATATCAGTTTTACAGTGTGGGACGTGGGTGGCCAGGATAAGATCAGGCCCCTCTGGAGACATTACTTTCAGAACACACAGGTATGGAAGTTACATTTTTTCAGGAGCAGTCAGGAGCGCTTATTAGCGTGCAGCTTTGTAACATTTCAGATCAAAATGTTGGCAACCTCTGACTCTTGCCTTTAACATATGGTATTAAAGCAGCTCCACTAGCTAGACTAAAGACTGAAATGCTTCTCTCCAATAATTATATTGGGTATTTGGTAACATTGCTGCTGTTTTTAAAGTCATGTCTTTCATTTTCTCCTCTCATCACATTTTCTTTATCAAAACAATTAGCTCCCAACAAGTTTTCTATCTGTTTAATATTTGATCATTTTGATTATTTGACAATTTCTCTTCAAAGCTGTACCCTACATATCGCCACAAAAACTTAATTTACCTCTGTAATGAAAGATGATCTGTCTTTCTAAAAATAAAAACAAACAATTTAATTATGTATATAACATTAGTCCATTGCATTTCAAGAGTCTAAGGCATTGTCTTTGACTTTTTCCCATCAGAAAGGACTAAAAGTTGATGAGCTGTAAAATGAAGAAAAGAGAAACGAATCACTCAGTGCCGATGTTTTTTGTTTTTTTTAAATTGCATGCAGGGCCTCATCTTTGTAGTGGACAGTAACGACAAAGAGAGAGCGAGAGAGGCAGCTGATGAGCTTTCGAAGATGGTAAGTATGAATAACGTACATCTCAGAAAGTAAAAGGGAATAGTGTTCTTTGTTCTTTGTTCTTCTCATCAAGAATTTTTTTTATCCCAAAGGGTGAAATTATCTGCAGCGATCTCATCCACCATGATTAAAACCTGTAAAAAAAACTCTTAAGTAGATCAGTTGTTTAGTGACAATTTGACAATTTAACTGGAGGAAGAGTAGTTTCTTGTATCGTTGCTTAAAATGAGACAACAAGACTTACATGTAAGAGTCCTTTCTCAATGAACAGCTCTGTTTTTCTTTTTTTTTACTGTTAACTTTTCTAGTTTTGGAGTAATGTGAAAGTACTTTGGCCTTCTGAAAGTTCTTTTCTCTGACTCGCTTAATTCTCTGGCTGCAAAACCCTGGGCTCTACACTGACTGTGTATTGTACTCACACACTCGGGCTACGATAATGCCAAGATTTATTTGGCTGAATAGAATTATGTGGGAGGATTTACAAAGCTTGCATTTAGTCTGGTTTCCTGGTTTACTGGTTTGCACCGAATAGTCACTGAAGGGTGCTCCAGTTTAAATAGAACACTGAGATGAACTTGCTGTGATTATATATTAATATGTTCCTTTTCATCAAGCTAGAGCCCTAGAGAGAGAAAATAAATTCAGGAATTGTAAAAGATTTTTAAATTTATTTTAATACTGTTGTGAAAAGATTATTGTTTCCCCCAATGCAGAAACCTGAAGGTTTAAACAAGCTAATGCAAGAATACTCCATGAGTATTTTTTTTTTTGTGATTGCATCTTAGCAGTGCATTGTCTATCGTTTGTAGTTTTTAAAAGGATTGTTTTCTTCTTTTTTTTTCTTCTAATGTTAGGTGCATTATTTGATACATTTGTATTATTTCAGAAACCCTGTGCTAAGGTCTCTCGACAAACTGTTTTATAATTTCACGAATATCACTGACAAAAAGGCTGTTAAAGGCTTTATATGTGATTTTTCATACTTAAATGTAGAAATCAAGTATCTCCTCTGAAAATAACTCTGTGAGTCATGACTGTCTACAATGGGTGTAACACCCGAGTCCCACTGTCTGTGATGTTTTCAGAGTTTTCAGAGTCCTATCTTCACTTTGTTTACATCGCCAGGACGGCCGGCTGACTCCTCCCCTCGTGTATAAAAGTTGTTTAATTGAGGGACTAGAGAAAAGAAGAATAACATACTGTACTCACTGCTTAACTGTGTTTCTAGATCACGCTCATTTCAGGTCAATTTACATGCAGTGTGAAGATACCAGCATAATAAAGATCGCTAGCATTAGCATGCTAACACAACAATGCAGCGCGAGTTGCTTTGGTTTCATGCTGGTGCTCAAGGGCGACATCTGCTGGATCAAAAAAAAGCATGTAAAGCCTTAAAAATGTTTTTCATCCTTGCATTAAAATCTTACAGCTGATTGTCTTCTGCCCCTCTAGTTGAGTGAGGACGAGTTGAAAGATGCCGCTCTGCTGGTGTTTGCTAACAAACAGGACCTTCCCAATGCTCTTAGTGTCAATGAAATCACAGAGAAACTTGGCCTCAGCAGTCTCCGCAACAGAACTGTGAGTAGAGAAACACCCCACACACCCTACAGAGCTATTCATATCTGTTTGCATTATCAAAGCTTCATGTATGTCTAACTCAATGCTGACTTTCCCCCACTGTCTCTAAACCCCACAGTGGCATGTTCAGGCAACCTGCGCCACCCAGGGAAATGGCCTGTATGAAGGACTGGACTGGCTTTCCCAAGAGTTATCGACCAGAACCTAAACGAGGATCGGGCTTGAAGAAAAAGAGAAGAGACTTAACAGCACAGGAGAGGAAAGGACTGAGAAGGCAAAGACATGCGATCTAGAAACACAGGTTTCTTAAAACAATGTTCACAAAAAGGTCAAGACTGGTGGACAATAGAATGTCTTTTGGATTTTCTTTTTTTTTACTTTCTTTTTTCTCTTTTTTTAGCAACACTACCACCTGTTTTACATCTACACAACGTCTTGTTTTTTTCTCCCTGAAGAACCACTTCCATGGCTCTAGGTTTGTAATGACACAATCGATTGCATGATGAGCGAACGACCTGTTAGGGGAATTTCCTGAAAACAAGTGTTGACCCCCATCCCTCCCTCCCATGCAGCAATGACATGAATCAACCACTAGTATAATCTTTGGGCTTACTTCATTGATATTGTCGAGCCTGGGTTGGAGAAAACGTTAAAGTATGACTCTAGAGTTTTGGAGAAGGACGGCTTGTAGGTGATTAAAACCCTATCGGATTTTTGACTCCCTTTTTGAAGTGACCCTTTTCTCTTCACGTCCGTGTCCTCGTTTTGATGCTGTAGCAAAAAGAACGAGAACGACGAAGGTTAGATGAGGCTTACCTTGAGTTCTTAAATAGACTTTGTAGCTGCCTCCCAGTAAATGCATCCAAAAAGAAGCACTGTGCCTTCTTGTCCAAATCTGAGTTATCCTTTTCTTATCTCTTTCTTACTTCTTTAGTTAGTACAGCGACTTTTGAAAGAAAAAAAAAAATGGCTTCCCTATTAACCCTGGATTTCTCCTCGAGAACTTGTCCTCACTACACGTGTTTCCTTTTTATAATATCTACCCTGAAAAAAAAGGATTGAATTAAAATGTCTGTCTTGTTTACACTAACAGGAAGAAGATAGAATCTTTCAAGTGTTTGCACAGGGTCAGTGTTAATACAACCCAGTGAAGAAGCATGCTTTTGCTTTATGTTTTCCTGGCCTCCGGCTGATGTTGTGCTGTCTGTGGTATATACTTTATATTATATTCTTAGTTATTCTACCCTTCTTTAAACACAAACACATACGCAGCCCATACATTTATTTGTGTACACATTCCAATTCATTTGACAATTGGTGGAGCTGCTACGCCTTGAAATATTTGCAAAATTTACAATTTACAAAAAAAAAGCTCTAAATAAAGCCAATGAAAAATTAAAAAACAAGTTTTGTTTTGGACTCCTTTCTAAGACAGACAGTTGTCATTTTCCCTGGATTTCAGGGCTTTTGCCCATTAAAAAAATGTTTTCACAGTTCATGCCTTCTTAATTTTATTATGTCAATAATAACTCCATTAAATTACAATTTGTATTTTCTTTCATGAATTTCGCCTTACAAGATTAAGTCTAATTACTGGTGTTACTTTGAAACCAGAACAAGATGTCAAATCATTTTGTATCTTTTTTATACACCACCTTACGTGTCTTGAGCTTTGAAAAAGTCTGAAGTTATCAGCAAAGAGTTCAGCTCCTGTTTGTTCAAATGAAGTTGCAGGGTTTTGAATCAAGTACAGCTTTGCAGCTTTAAAACTTGAGAGCTGAAACTGAACATACATCTAGGCGGGGCATTGATTTTACATGACCTACTCTAGAGTGGACTTTTGTTCTGACCTCTATTGTTATTGGAACAGAACAGAATGCAGTGATAAAGAGGAAAACATGTCAATCTATATTGTTCTCTGGCCTGGTTTACTGAGTGCTGAATAACAGAACAGACAGAACATTGTCATTTATATATGTTTTTCTCTGCTTGCTGTGTATGGGTACTCAGGAACACAAATGTAGGTGATTACACAGATTATAATAATGCAGAAGTGCTTACAATAACATACAAAACTCTGTAGATAAGAGGAGGAAAACATGATTTACAGTGACTAAAAGGTTAGAGATATTTAGTGATGAGTAATGTTTCATAGAGCAAAAAAAGAAGACAAAATGATCTGGTGGAGTTAATGAAACACGAGAAATGAAGGTGAGCTAGCTATGTATGAAGCAATGAATTAGCAGCTCAGTTAATGACGTCAGAAATCCCTGTTTTGTCTCTTTCTTTTTTCAAGACAGTTTAAAACTGCTATTTTTTTGTTTTGAACCATTTACAAATTATTTAGTTATAAATTAACTTCATTAAACAATATTTAGTGGTAGAATCTGTCTTTAGAACAACTCTCAATCTGTTCATCTAACAAATAGCAAGAAAAACATGTATTAGAAGTAAAGGAATTAAATGATCCCCTAAGTATAAACCCATCTATGGTTCATGTGATGATACTGTTTCTTAAAGGACAAAACGTTAGAAGAGGAACTGATGACCTTTGGGCCTTTTAAACCTTATTATTACTGAGCTGTTTCAACTGCTGCACTTAAGGGGGCGCTGTCTACAAGACCACTCTTGCAGACCTGGTGCAAATTTAAGCCTGTGATATGTGTCAGTTTTCCATCATACAAGGTCCGTTGATAAAAACATCCTCGTGAAAAAAAAACTTTAAAAGAAATATATATTTTTTTATTTTAAGTAGGTTTCAGTACTACTCCCTAGAGGGTCTTTAATTCACTCATCCACATTAACCTGTAGTTATCTGCTCCAATAATTGGTGAAGATAGAGACCAGGGAACATGAAGAACACTACAATTGTTATTTTTGTGTAAACATTCATCGTACTGATGCATGATCACTGCTGTGAAATGGACAATTATGTTCTCTGCATCACAATGTCAATACAATCCGAAGTTTGAAGCTTCAGCTTGTGTCGGGTGAATAGGACTTTTACGCAGTGTTTACAGGTGAAGGCATAAGCATGATATAATTGGCTTGCTGTGATGTGTGCATGTCAGTTCTTATGCATTTATGATAGCTAATCAGGCTTAATGAAGCTGGGTCAACACACTTCAGTGTGTGTGAGTATCTGTAGCAGCAAGGTGGGTCAGCATTGAGGAGCATGTGTGTGTTCTGCTGCTTTCAGCAACACTTCTCCTCACTTTCCTGCACTCATGAACTCTTGGAAAATTAAATGGGATTTACAGCTTTACTTTCTTTCATAATCAGTAAGGTATGTTTTGGAGCCAAATGATGTGTTTGTTTTGTGTCATGGTATTTTCCTTATGTTTGTGTGTGTTGGCCCTCTACTGGGCACTATGTGTAGCCTGGGCAGATGCTGTGGTCAAAGCAAGGCTACAGGTGAGGTGGGACAGGTGATTGAAT